TATGGCTTGTACACCCCCCTTTAAAGGAAAAAAAATTGTTTGATATAGGTGCATACTGAAAAAACAACACTTTTATAAATATAATTTCAATCAAGAATTAAATTCTTCAGTAATGTTTAGGATTATTCGAAAGCATTCTATTTCCAAATATGTGCTGTATTGGAAACAAATGGCTAACTCATCACTTTAATTCTAGTACATATTTCGATCAGAGATAGTTCTATTCTTTTAAAATTACTATTTTTGTTCACCATACATAGGAGACTTTAAACCTGTTTGTGGTACTGTATTCTTTGAATTTTTTTTTTATAAATTTTGCTTCATTTTACAGCGTGCTATATGTATCGATAATACATTGCAAGTTTACTTTCCAGCATTTAAAGAGCAAAAAATCAAACTATAAATTTGCACAGTTTGATTCGAAACATGCATTTACTTTCATTTTCGCAGGGTCATACGCGTGTTCAACTAATATTAGCAAGACATAAATCGTACATGTACATTCAGTCTCCATGAAATCCAATGATTGCAAAGGTTAATGGCAAAGATGAAAATATCAGACTTTCATATTACATATGCAGATAATAATATTAATGTAATTGTCCGTGTATCGAATCGACATCGAATTGTATGGAAACCCATTCCCATGTGAAAGTGCTATAAAATTATTTCTATGTTGTTTCATCTCCCCGTGGAGTGGATACATATTTTCCATACGACTAATTTTCATCCATTTTTCATTTACATCTTTGTAAAATTTAATAGATAAAGTAGGGGTAAAACTAGGTAATTGAATGTGATGAATGTTTATTGTGATACTGTTTGTGAAAAGTTTCAATAAAAAAAGAATTATAATGTGTCTAGATCTACGGAGATCAAACCTGACATCTTTAATTATTTAACAATATTGGTATAAGTCTCCCGCGTGGCGAAACGGTTATAGAGCATTTTCTTAAGAGTCTTGGAGTAAGGGGTTTCAAAAACTATTGGATTCAAATCCAAATGCGACATACATATTATACATTTTAATGTAAAATGTTAATTTTAATGTTAAAACACCTCATATGGTTTGAACGCATTTTTAGAATTAATGCATTGTAATCTAAGCTTCAATAAGACGTCAATGTATTCATTTCGTTGTTGATTTATAGATTGAGATTCAAATTATTGAAAATGGATCAGGAGAATAGGAACTGGCAAGCTGGAAGAAAAGTTATCGAATGTAACAAGTACATGTTAATCAACCAAATCCAGTGTGATGTTACATTCAAGGTGGGACTGGAGAAAAAAGAAGTAAAAGCACACCGATATGTTTTAGGCAGTAGGAGTTCAGTATTTTATACCATGCTGTTCGGAAGTCTCTCGGGTAATTCAAATAACATCGTTGTGCCCGATATTGAACCTGAAGTGTTTCAAGATCTTTTCAGGTAAACTTAAAAAAAATAATTTGGTTAAATTATATAAAGTACCTTGAAACTTATTCATTGCTAGAACTTTTTTCGCGGGTGGCTTGGTGGTTTGAAAGTTTGCACTTGACCAAGGATAAGGAGAAATACTGTTAAATCTTTACATCGCAGGTTCGAATCCAAAATGTGTATATCCACCTTTTTTGAATAGATGTACTATTTAATTTGAAAAAAAAATACACGTATGGTCTAGTAATTATTGATATTTAGTTTTCACTCGAAATCAGTATTTCTTATAAGAAGTACAAGTATGTCCTGTATATTTTGAAATCTAGAATCAGTCCATTATATAATCACTCTCGGGTTTTGTATAAAAACCATGAACCTAATGCACTTTTGAAATATTCAGAGTATCTTTCCAATTAAATAACTTACACTTGAATATATAAAATCGGCATAGAAAAAATATCTATGTGAAGCAGCACTTCATGAATACATTTGAGACTTTGTAGCAAATAAAATTCGATTTCTGACTTGGAAATGAAGTAAAAATTTATTGGAATAAAGATGACTTCCATACATTTGTCTCTCCTCTTTACTTTTTTCCGTTGTAGGTTCCTTTATTACGAGGAAACAAACATAAATGAGGAAAGTGTCACTGGGACTCTGTATGCGGCAGAGAAGTATGGTGTAACGGACCTAAAAGAAGCTTGTAATTTTTACCTGAAAAATCACATTAATGAGGAGTCGGTCTGCGCCATTATGGAGAATGCAAAGCTGTTTAATTTAAATGATTTACTCACCAGATGTATTGACTTTATAGTGCAGTCTGAGGCTACTGCTAAAACAGTTTTGCAGTCACAAGGCTTTCTCGGTCTGAATAGAGAATGTTTGTTGTCACTCTTAAAATTAGATACATTGCCTGTAAATGAGGAATTTCTCTACAAGTCCTTAAGGTTGTGGTCACATAAAACTGCGAAAAAGATGGGAAGGATGTGAATAATTCTGAAAATATTCGCAGCATGATGGGAGATCTTTTGTATCAAATTGGATTTCCTTTAATGTCTTTAGAAACCTTTTGGAAGGAAGTTGCCGGGGACAACATTTTGACAAACCAAGAAAAAGATCAAATTTCAAAATGTATCGTAGGGATACCTTATGGAGATACAATGCCTTTCTTAACAATTCGTAAGAAAAAGGATATAGCTATTTACAGAGGCACAACTTATCAGGATGTATGGACTTTGAATGGTGACATAGACGCCATCCAGTTTAGAGTCAATAAATCTTTGCACATGCGTGGATTAATTTTGCTGGGAAGTTATGAAACAAGTCCGTACACATACACAATAGGAGCAAAAATAGTAGACAGTGACAATGAAACAGTAGCATGCTTTTCAGAGCAATCTGTTACCAACACTGAAAGAGAATTCCAAATAATCTTTGATAATCACTGCTTACTTAAAGCAAACCAGGAATATACAATCTGGTTAAAGATGATTGGTCCCCAAAGCTACGCGGTGAGCAATGGTCAACCCTGTGTCACAGAAAATGGCGTCAAATTTACTTTTAGGGATAGCGAACTGAGTTCGAACAGCACCTCTACAACTAACGGACAAATTCCTGGACTTCTTTTTAGTACAACGATAACACATGACTTGTGTTAAAAATCGAGCATCCATTGTTAATTTAATTTGGATATGATTTGGACGAACATGTATGTAACCTTAAAACAGTTTTCTTCTGATTTGATCACACCTTCCAGTTTCCTTTACATCCGTCTAGGGCTACTTGATTTTGGAGATTCTTACACCAATTGAATTCAAAATATATTTTAAATACCTGAATGACACCCACCCACCCAATTCTGAACATTTGATAAGATATTTGTTTTACAAAATAAATTGAATTTCAAAAATTTACTATAAATTTTACAAGACCATCTTTAAAATCATGTTTGCTTGCTCTCTTCTAAATCGGGGTAATTTTATTTATTTTTGCTACATACCACCGGTATTAGATGCAAATAAATTTGTGAGGCAATCCTTAAAAGAACTGCTATATAATAAATTGAATTAATTTATCATTGTAAATGCACACTTCTCCAACAGTGCTTGCCACAATTGGGACAAGAAAATATTGAAGAAATATTTTCATTTTTAACACTCATGAGACTCAAAGAAGTCTTTCTGAAATACAAACTAAATAAATAAGACTTTTAAATATTATAATACAATTTTAATTAAAAAAAAAACTCAATACTTTCATGGGATATAAAGTTATAAACTCAATAAAACTTGATTCACGGACTGAGGTGGAGTAAGACACAATTTCAATTCTACACATCATACGTGATTTCTTAAAGATTTCAAATAAACACGATAAAGGAGAAGACTACGCTTTGAAACGATTGTCTTTTATGTTTTTGATGCGACTAAACTCTATAATGGAGAGAATTTAAACTAATCTAAACCTCTTGCAAGAGAGAAAGTCGCTTCCTAGCTACTAACAATTTGAAATATTTTGCAGTTTCTGTCCCTATTTGTGACGATAGATGGATACATGATATATTTGATAAGTGTTTATTGATGAGTTTTACAGAGATAAATATTTCAAAATTTCCATAAAATCTGAAACAAAAGTAGGCTTCATTATGATACGATTTCTAAAAAAGAACTTGATAAGCAATAGACTTCTCAAAGAAATGACTTCAGTGAAACAAGTAGATTACAATTGGATATCATTTCCATAAAGGTGGTTAAAACGTCTACAAGACAATATTTATACGTTGTTTTTTTTTAATTTTGATACAAAAGTAAGCTTGACGAAGATGCTATGTTACAAGTACACTATACATACTTATGATTGCATTAAGACTTGATATACAAGTAGACTAAGCTTGATACTTAATTCTATGTATAGCCGTCAAATTTTGGAACTCATAGCTATATTGGATACACAGTGTAACTATGTAATTTATTGAATATCAAGTTATTATTAATAAAAAAAAAACAGTTGAAAACGTAACGCTACAGTAATCAACATTCACTTTTATTTGTCTTAAATGCTTCCTCACAATGCTTTTGGTACATGTACTAGTCTATTAACAAGTAGAACAGTCTTTAAATCAAAATATCGTTTTGATTATTAAGAAACATTTAAAAATCATGTTTGTGTAAAAGTGTTTCATACAAAGACATTTTCCATTCAGAAGAATACCCATAGGAATTATATAATATCACCCTCTGGTATATTGTCCTAATACCTGGTAAGGTGGTTAAGTATCTACATTTTAATGACAAATTCTTGGGAAAAATTATAACTATATATACTTTTTATAAATATTATATATTTTCAGGTACGTGTCGTATGACCATAAATCAAATCTGTATATTTTAAGAACCCCCTTCTTTAGTATCCTACCATCACAAGAATCCCAATAGAGTTTTATTTTGCTGATTTTGAGAGCAGAATTTTCAACTGAATGTCATTTTAAAGTTAAATATAAATATAAATTTGGTATTGATAATTATGATGTAAAAGATTTTTATCAAACTTTACAAAGCTGACGTGAGACATATCTTAGGCTTCAACTTGAAGTAATACTATATCCCTGTGTGTTCTTAACTTTTTTCTCGGACCGTTTGTTTGCTTGTTTGTTTTTTATTTAGATATTAATATAAACGGTGTGGTTAATATCTGTTATACATTCGGGGTTATCCCGCTTTCAATATTCATCAGCTTTCAACTAACCATCAGCTAATTATCAGAGGCAAAGTAAATTTCATATTTAATTTCACTAAAACACATATTTTCTTAAGATATGCTGACCTTCCACTTTTAATCAAAAGTTAATTTTATCATCAACAATATTATTTTATTCAAGTGAAAATATAGTGAAGGGATCCTTAATTTTTTTCCCTACAAATGTGAAAAACATATATATCTATGATCTGAGTAAAATTGAAACTATGAAATACATTTTGTGTCATGCATGTAAATACAGGCGCTTGGTGGAGCATTTGATGGCAATGCACTTGTATCTTGTTCTTAAAGATTTTTTTTTTCAGTTTAAAAATCTAGTTTATGTAGGTCAAACTAAACTTGGTTGACTAGAATGTCAAATATTTTAAGACAGAACGGCTTTGAAGAATTTTATCTTAAGAGAGAATATAAATTTGTAAAAGTAGGTTTCAAACTACGTCCTTCTTAGAAACAATCATTTTATTATGAAAATGTACAAATAATGTACATGTACAAACAATACGACATGAATGTAAATAACCATGTTTCACATGTAAATCAATATGAATATCACTATAAAGTGTTTTAATATTTGAAATAAATATCGAAGCTCAAGTTTGTTTTTAATTCTATGTTTTTCATTATTTTACATTTCTATGCATATCATATTTTTAATTGAATAAACCGCTTAAGAAAGGTTTTAGTCATTAAGGCAAGTGGAAATTTCGAACCGTCTTACTCAAGCCTTCTTACGACGGTTTATAATTAACAAATACATTTATGTTAATACCCCTACATGTTTTTACATGACGTACGTCAAAGAAATTTTTAGAAAATCAGACAGGATGACCAAGATGGTTAAAATCTGGTACTCAATTCAGCAAGAAAGGGGAAAACATTTATTCTAGACAATTAGATTTAGCATTAATAACCACATCGAAGTCCACATCTGAAACCAAAAGGAAAAGCAAGTTTACGTGGAATATCAGAGTCTGCCTGTGCAATTTTCCTATTCTATAAAGTAAACAAAATATGATGCTGAAAGTTAAAAAAAAAGCCAAGTTTAATAGATACAGACATATCGCTAATTACTTTAACCGTGAATAAATCAACCAAACACTTGATAGAAAACTCAAATAAGGTATAAGGTAAGCTATTCATGTATTGTATTCAATGAAACATCATCTTAAATGGCGGTGATTAAGAAGTATGAAAGGTACAAAACAAGAAACACTTTATGGTTGAAAACATAAGAAATATAGATGGACAAAGCATTAGATGGTCTACTAACTCTTAGTATACAACAAACATAATAAAGTATAATCTTACAATGAATTGACCACCGTTTTTTGTTTTACAAAGTCGTGACAAGAAGCACAGTGTGTGACAAGTCGACATGAAATGCTCACCCCTCAGTGACATCTGATCCCACCTCTGAGGTTTTTAGAGGTCCCTGTTTGTTCTGTTCCAAATTTGTATTCTTCTAATGGACTTATTTTGGTTTGATTACTATCAATTACCTTCATATTTTCATTGACAATTAAGGCTTTAAACTTCAGGAAGAGGAAGGTCTACTGGCAAACGTATGTCTCGTGACCTACATGGGAAATCCAGCTTTGTAAAATTATCCTTTTCCAAAAGGGAGCGGGAAAATAAATCACTAGAGAAATCTCAATTGTGTATTTAATTAAGTCAACAAAACGGTATGTTTAAATTCAAAAGTCTCTGCAATTCCTCTTCTAATAACATGTCTGTCAGTGGTGGATGTGAGTGCCCATTGATTAAGATCAATTCTTTTTTCTGTATTTGGAGATAAGAATGAAGTTTTTTGCCTTAACAGCAACTTTTGATCTTGTTTCCCTTTAAAATAAGGAAATACAAACTGAATGTGAAAATCTTTCTCTCCTATTGATGGAATTCTGATCATCCTAATAACTAAATCCCAATGTATAAACATTTTACAAATTTCCTTTGTCTTTTCATTAAAAGTTTAAAAGTTTTAATATCGCAGTATACAAATGCAAAAACTGGTTCATTCAAAAACACACAGTGACCTAAAAACTCTAATAATGACTTTGCAAGGCTTTACGCACATTGTGCTCTATGCTTTTATTAATAATTATTAAAAAACTATAATACAAGAGAAGTTAGTGTAAAATAAAGTTAAATAAGTAGTTTTATAAGGTAGAGAAATCTTTTTAGGTATGTTTAAGCTCTTTGAATTTTCAAAATTGAAATATTCTCTGCAAAAGCTTTGAAAATTTATGATACACAAATTCTTTAGGAAGATTGTAGGACATATTGGCTGCTACAGAATCCTTTTCAAACAAAAGATACTTGCATCTGTAATAGCATCTATTTTAATAAAGTCTTTTCAGATGCACTTTGAATTTCTCCATATAAACGCTACACATTAACTCCAAAAAACTATGACGAGTTTCAGTAAAGCAAGTCAAAAACCTAAATGAAAAAGGTAAATATAGCGAACAGTGATTGATGTCAAATAAAAAAAAATACAAATCTGTGAAAGGGGCACAAAAACACGGACCCGGACATAACAGAGGTAGGATCACTAAGAAGATTAAACATCCCCTTTAGACCAATCAGTGAAGAAGTTTTCATATAGTGTTGAGGCAATGCACTGAGGCAATGAATTTTGAATTTGTTAAAATATTTAAAGGTTAGAATTTTTAATGGTTTGTGAAGATTGAGATGCTCTAAAAAAATTTGGAAAGTTCTTCATAGTGAAATATATCTGTTGAATGTTAAAGATCCGCGTCTCTAGCGATTAAAAACAACAAGGTTTACATGGAACAAAAGACAGAGTTTGTGTGTTTTGGATCTGAGGAATTTATAAAGCCGCAAGTATAAAATTTGCCACTGTCAATCCTTATGTCACAATCTATGATTACTCATTAAAATATTCAGCAGTCTCGTTTAAAGTCATTATTTCGTAAGTCCTATGGTCAATTCAATGATCTTGTCAGCAAATACAATTTATCATTGAGTCAAATACTGGCTGACTTTTTCATACTTATTGTTAGTCCATTATTTATACACTGAATTGACGACGGATTTTTCCGTTATTTTCCGATCATGACAAAG